GTGCCCCCCACTCAGCTGGGGTCTCAGCTCCCATCATGCTCAGCGCTGCCCTTGCTGTCCCAGTGGGGGCAGGCAGCGAGCTCTCTGCTCTGGTCACAGCATCAGAGCCAGCGTGAGCCCCCTCTCCGGTGTGCAGGGGGGCGGGGAGCATCTCTCCGACACACTCAGCCCCAGGGGTCTGGTTACAGGTAGGCAGGTATTCTGAGCCCAGCAGCCCCTCCCTCCTGACAGCTAGGTCATTTGCATTTTCACTGACCATTTCCATCTTAGCCAATTGGTTCCCTGGATTCAAATTCAAATCCTCGGCCGTTACAGGAGCAGGGCCTAGATCCTGTCCCAAAGAGAGACAGTCACCCCCCAACAGGACCTCACAGCCGATATCCTGGAGAACCCCAACAACCAGCCAGCCCGACCCCTCCTGTGTCTGCACAGGGATCCGGGCCATAGGCAGGGCGAGGGCCTTTATCCTGGGGACCCTCACCCAGGTCACACAGCCCCTCAGCATCTGCGGCTGCACCACCCGGGGCCTGACATCAGTTCTCTCTGTCCCAGGGTCTCGCCACCCCAGGCATGTCTCCCCATTGATCACCCCCTTCCGCTCCCACTGGGGGTCCGAGGGGCCTGAGCCCAGGAGACTCCACGCAGACATATAGGCCAGGGCCAGGAGTGGGAGCCTGTCCACCACCCCACCCATCTGGCTGACAGTGTCTATGGCCTTGGGGCCCAGCAAGGGAGCTAGATACCGGGGCCTTTCCGCAGGGTCCCCCAATTCAAATCGCCAGCCTGCTCGAAGGCCGTGTGGTGGGCATCCACATCCCCCCCTCCTTAACCAGGGGCAGCAATTTAGTGTCGAGGTTCCCTGCGGAACTGGCAGCCCGGGGTCTATCCCCACTCACCCTGGGGAAGCCCCCTATGCCTCTCCGCTCCACCATCGCCAGTCCATGCTGCTGTTGCTTTTCCTCCGGCTCTTGCTCTCTCTCACGGTCCTCTCGCTCTCTCGGACTCAGCTCCAGTCCCATCTGTGTCCGACCCCCCGATGGGGAACCCGATCGTTAAGACCCCCATCTGGTTGGGGACCAGACTCTTGGGGATGCCTGGCTACTGCTCCTGCTGCTTCCAGATCCTCTTGTAGCCCCATCTGGGTCAGGAATCTGCTCCTTAGAGCGGTCCTTGTCCTCCAGGTGCATGATTAACTGGGCCATGGTGAACTTCCCAATGTGTAACCCTCTCTTTTTGCACAGGATTACAATGTCCTTCTTAAGGAGATGGTGATAGGCCAACACTCCGCTGTTCCCAAGTTGATTTGGACTCAGAGGCCGTGTACTCTCAGCTCCCCCAGTTTCCAGGAAGAACCCCTAGTGTGCCAGCCCTTCTCGTGGTCACCACCTCTTTACCAGGGTTGAGCTGCAGACTCCTCCACCCCTGGGACCGCTCGCTGCAATCCCCAGGGGAACCCTGTTACAGCAAAAGTCCTTCTCTCTCCCAGGGTCGAGCGGCAGGCTTCTCCACCCCTGAGACTGCTCACTGCATCCTCGGGGGACCCTGTTACTCCAACAGTCCTTCTCGCTGGTCACACACTCCCAGAGGTTAATCACCCCCTGAAACCGTCCCTCTCTGAGCCTTCAGCACGCCTGGTCCTTGTTATCCCCCCTTTGTTTTACTGCTCCCCAGTCACTTACTGCAAGAAGCGCCCTTCACAGGGTGCAGTACATCCCACGGCTGCCACCAGTTGTCACGGAGTCCCCGGGCAATGCTCTGGAACTGCTCCCCACAAAGCCAGTCAGGACTTTGGGGAGCCTCCTCTCCCTCGAAGCAGACTGTCTTCAGGGCAAGGACTGTCTTCACACGGCTTCACCTCCTGGGTCTGACCTTGGAGCATTCAGCATATGCCCCTCCGTGCACTTCCCACAGCGAGTCCGCCCAGGCGGGGTCCTGGGGAAGCCAGAGGGTTCTGCACCCCCACTTCGCAGTCAGTCGTGACTCTTAGCCAGCCAGTAAAACAGAGGTTTATTAGATGACAGGAACACGGTCTAAAACAGAGCTTGTAGGTCCAGAGAACCGGATCCCTCAGCCGGGTCCATTCTGGGGTCCTGCGAGCCAGACACCCCCGTCTGCCCTCACTCCCCATCCCCAGCCAGCTCCAAACTGAAACCCCCTCCAGCCCCTCCTTCTCTGCTGAGTTCCTTTCCTGGTCCAGGAGGTCACCTGACCTCTTTGTTCTCCCACACCTTTAGCATCTCCTTGCAGGCGGGAAGGGCCTGGCCATTAGTTGCTAGGCGACAGAGGGTCGGCCAGAAACTCAGGCACCCACACAGTATTCAGAGGAAACATTAAGAACAGTCTCACTTCGTCACACCATGCTTCTACTGAAGAGAAGAGACTCCACTCCCTCAATGTCCGGCATGCCCTGGCATTCTACCTGCAAAGAACCAAACCCATCAGAAAGTCGCCAGGAGTTTTCATTGCCATAGCAGAAAGATCGTGTGGTCATGCTATATCCTTTCAAAGGATTTCTAAGTGGGTTTTTGGATGCCTCCTAGAGTGCTACAGGTTAGCACACATTCTTCCTTTAGAGGTGTCACAGCTCACTCCATGAGAGCACAGGCTGCTTCTATAGCACCTCTGAAGGAGGTCCCAATGCAAGATATTTGCATGGAGGCCACCTGAAGCTCCATCCACTTATTTGCTACACTACGCATTAGTTCACAGCTCTGCAGAGGATACAGCAGTGGCATCTGCAGTACTCCAAGCATCTTCGTCTCTGGCTTTCTCACACCCACCTCCAGTCTGAGCACTGCTTGTCAATCACCCACATGTGGAATACACGTAGGGACCAGCCCTCGAAGAAGTGGAGGTTACTTACTGTAACTGGCAGCTCTTTGAGATATGTGGCCCCTATCTGTATTCCACTCTCCGCCCTCCATGCGCTCTGCTTTGGACCCTGTTGAATTCAAAGAAGAGGAACTGGAGAGGTGTCGGCCTGCACTGTCTCTTATACCCTCAGTCGGGAGCCTGAGGAGACCTACTGCAGACGTGTAGGTCAATGGACACTGCTTGTAAGAATTTCCAGACTCGGGCATGTGGCGCGCATACATACCCACATGTGGAACACAGAGAAGGACTGTACATCTCATGCATCCGACGAAGTGGGCATTCACCCACGAAAGCTTATGCTCCAATACATCTGTTAGTCTTAAAGGTGCCACAGGACTCTCTGTTGCTTTGTACATCTCAAAGAGCTTCCAGTTACAGTAAAGAACTTCCATGTCTTACATGGTGAAGGACAGGCAGAGCTGTGTGTCTCTGCATACTGCTGACCCTTGAGTCCACGTCGTCTGACCAGTTCACCTAGTGGCTGCATGTAGATGTTGAAAAGGACCGGAGAGAGAACTGATCCTTGTGGGACTCCACAGGTGAGGGGTCTGGTGGTGGAGGTGCAGTTTCCCATCAGTACTCATTGGGTGCATCCCTCCAGGGAGGATTCAAACCATTTTAGTGCATTCCTCTGGGCTCCTGCCACCTCTCAGGTGAAACAGCAGTAACTCATGGTTGACAGTGTCAAATGTTGCAGAGATTCCCAAGAGGATGAGAGTGCATGTCTGCCCTCTAACCATTGACAGCAGGAGATCATCCATCAGTGCCACTAGAGCATTTTTCAGTTCCATATGCCTGACTCCAGATTGTGCTGGATCTAATACATCAGCTTCAGTTAGATGAGCTTCTAGTTGTCCTTTGTCCAACTTCTCTCTATGAGCTTGCTAAGAAATGGGAGATTTGACAGTGAGTGATAGTTGGTTATAACTGACGTATCCAGGTTATGTCAGTGTTGGTCACGCTGTTGCATGTTCAATGGAGGAAGGAAAAAGTCCTCTGAATGAGTCATTGGCCATTACAGTCATGAGTGGCATCAGTTGTTCGTTACTCTCTTTCACCAGCCACAAAGGGCAAGGGTCTGGTGCACAAGTTCTGAGTCAAGATTCCTTTGGAGTGTCCAGAACTTCTTGAGGAGTAAATATACTGGACTCCAGGATTTCAGGCAGGCTGTTGCATGGTGAGTGCAGGCAGGGTGGATCCAGGCTGTCTGAGAAGCCTTCTTGACTATGCATGATCTCTCAGTGCAGTAGAATATAGTCCTTTGCAGCACTTGGTGCTGGGTTCAGATGCAAGTTGTAGGCACTCAGAATTGCTGAAGCAGTTTACCAACCTGGATAGCTCCTGGGGGTGGGATTTGTCAGCTTTAATGGTGCTCATAGGAAGGGTCTCTTGGCCATAGGCTTGGAGACACTTGTTATGTTTCATCCTGTCTGCATCAGTCTTTGTTTTCTGCTTTGGCACTTAAATTTCTGCCCTACTCTCTTCATCTGGCTCAGGTTGTCAGCAAACCAAGGAAAGCTGTGTGGGCGATGGGGAGGAAGAGGCTCTTTGGGGTCAATGTGTTGCTGGTTGAGGCTAGTGTGGAATGGTAACAATTCACCAGGTCCTCATCCTGTGGGTGGAGTGCTGCTGTCCTTTAGTTGTCTTTGAAATTTAGTGGAGTCCCTGAGTCTTTGCAACTGAATCAGGATCATAGGTCTGTCTTGTTGCCTGGCAAAGCAGTGACCACTACCTTAATGAGGTGACAGTCTGTGCAGGACATTGGCTGGGTTGTGATGTCTTTGATCTTGACATCTAGGCTGAAGATGGCAGCAATTCCTGGACTTGCCCCAAACTCCCTGTGTGACCTTGGGCCAGTTCTCTGGTCCCTGGACGTCCTGACTGTGTAGGGGGTTAGCAGCTTTGCCCTGCCGCACAGGAGTGTGAGGAGAAATGCAGTAACAATTGTGAAGCAACCTGTACTGCAGTGCTGGGGTCACAGATGTGCCACAGATAGCTGGATAGATATGTGGGTGCGTGGAGATGTTTGTGTATGGATGTGTACACATGCATGGGCCTGCGCACCATCTCAGTCAGCTTGGTGACCCTGGGACTCCATGCACGGGCTCACCCCCATCCTCTCCCAGGTGCCATCTCGGTGCAGGACTCCAGCAGCCTGGACTTCGAATCAAGCCCTCGGCTGCGCCTCGTGGTTCAAGCAGAGACTGCCACCTCCTTTGGCTTCATGGCCGTGAACCTCAACCTGCAGGATGTGAATGATAACTTGCCACGCTTCCAGCTGCAGAACTACGTGGCCTTTATCTGGGAGTCACAGAGCTACGACTCCCCCGTCATACAGGTACCACCGGGGGGGAGCCCCAGGATGGGGCGATGGGAGCCTCACACGTGAGCTCTGAACACCAGAGTGCAGGGGGTCTGTGGGTGGGAAGGGGAGGGCACTGGGCTGGATAGGCCCATTGGTCTGATGGGGGGGAGAAATCGAGGCTGGATGGGCCCATTAATCTGATCGAGGGGGGAACTGAGTCTAGAAGGGCCCATTGGTCTGATCCGGGTGGGGGTGTGGAATCAGGGTTGGATGGGCCCATTGGTCTGATCAGGGGGGAGGGTCAGGGTTGGATGGGCCCATTGGTCTGATCGGGGGGGGGAGGGTCAGGGCTGGATGAGCCCATTGTTCTGATCGGGGAGGGGAATCAGGGCTGGATGGGCCCATTGGTCTGACCAGGGGGGCGGAACAGGGCCAGATGGGCCCAGTGGACTGATGGGGGGGTGGGGAATGGGGGTGGCTGGGACCATTGGTGTGATCGCAAGGGGGGGTGAATTGAGGCTGGATGGGACTATTGGTCTGATCCGGGGCGGGGGTGGGGAATCAGGATTGCCTGGCCCCATTGGCCTGGCCTGGGGGGTATAAATTGGGCCTGGATGGGCCCATTGATCTGATCTGGGGGAAGGTCACGGTTGGATGGGCCCATTGGTCTGATTGGGGGGAGGGAATCGGGGCTGGATGGACCCATTGGTCTGACCAGGGGGCGGAACAGGGCCGGATGGGCCCATTGGGCTGATTGAGGGAGGGAAAATCAGGGTTGGATGGGCTCATTGCTCTGATCGGCGGGGGTGGGGGTGCAAACAGGGTTTGGATGGGCTCATTGGTCTGAGGTGGGGAGTGTAAATTGGGGCTGGATTGGCCCATTGGTCTGATCCAGGGGGTGTAAATTGGGGCTGGAACGGTCCATTGGTCTTAGCCGGAAACATGAAATTGGGGCCTGAGTGGCCCACGGGTCTGAGCTGGAAGCGTGAGATTGGGGCCGGAATGGCCCGTGGGTCTGAGCCGGAAGTGTGAGATCAGAACTGAAATGGCCCGTGGGTCTGAGCCAGAAGCGTGAGATCGGCGCCAGAGTGGCTTATTGCAACTTGAGACCATTGCTCCTTGTTCTGTCATCTGCTACCACTGAGAACAGCCGAGCTCCATCCTCTTTGGAACCCCCCTTCAGGTAGTTGAAGGCTGCTATCAAATCCCCCCTCATTCTTCTCTTCTGTAGACTAAATAACCCCAGTTCCCTCAGCCTCTCCTCGTAAGTCATGTGCCCCAGCCCCCCTAATCATTTTCATTGCATTTACTGGGCTATCCAGTTTATTGCACTGAGTGCGACATGTATGATTACCTGCCCTGTGGGCGGGTGGCGTATGTGTGCAAGCGGTGCAAGGAGCTCCTGGCCCTCAGAGACCGCATACTGGCCAGGGTGGCGGAACTGGAGGAGCTAAGGGAGGCAGAGAGGTATGTTGATGAGGCTTTCCAGGACACTGTAGAATTGTCCCACCTCCGGTCAGACAGCCCCTGCGCTGTTGAGGAGGATGAAAGGCCCAGGGAAGCAGAGCAGTCAACGGGAGCAGAGGGAAACCTTCCCATAGTTGGGACCCTCCTTCCAGACGGTGCTGGGGTTGCCTCTCGCACTGAGGTTACCTCTCCGGGGGAGGGAACTCCAGTCACTAGGAAAAGGCAGGTGTTAGTAATGGGAGATTCGATCATTAGAAACGTAGATAGCTGGGATTGTGATGACCAGGAGAACCGTATGGTGACTTGCCTGCCTGGTGCGAAGGTTGCGGATCTCTCGAGGCATCTAGACAGACTTATGTGTAGTGCTGGGAAGGAGCCGGTGGTTGTGATACATGTAGGTACCAATGACATAGGGAAGGGTAGGAGAGACGTCCTGGAGGCCAAATTTAGGCTGCTAGGGAAGAGACTGAAATCCAGGACCTCTATGATGGCATTCTCAGAAATGCTCCCAGTTCCATGCACAGGGCCAGGTAGGCAGGCAGAGCTTCAGAGTCTCAATGCGTGGATGAGATGATGGTGTAGAGAGGAGGGGTTTAGATTCATTAGGAACTGGGGAAACTTTTGGGATGGGGGGAGCCTATACAGGAGAGATGGGCTCCACCTAAACCAGAATGGAACCAGACTGCTGGCACTAAACATTAAAAAGGTTGTAGAGCAGTTTTTAAATTAGGAGATGGGGGAAAGCCGACTGCTGCAGAGGAGCATGTGGATTGGACAGAGACTTCTCTTAGAGGAGAGTCTATTGATAGAGATTCTCTAGGTTATAGTCAGGAACAGAGGATGGAAGAGGATAATGTAAGGGCCAGATCAGATGAGAAACGTTCACATAAAAAAGAATCTGACACATCAGAAAAGGGCAGACAAATAAACAGTGACAAGTTTTTAAAGTGCTTGTACATAAATGCTAGAAGTCTAAATAATAAGATGGGTGAATTAGAGTACCTTGTGATAAAGGAGGATATTGATATAATAGGCATCACAGAAACCTGGTGGACTGAGGACAATCAATGGGACACAATCATTCCGGGGTACAAAATATATCGGAAGGACAGAACAGGTCGTGCAGGTGGGGGAGTGGCACTATATGTGAAAGAAAATGTAGAATCAAATGAAGTAAAAATCTTAAGTGAATCCACATGTTCCATAGAATCTCTATGGATAGTAATTTCATGCTCTAATAAGAATATAACATTAGGTATCTATTATCGACCACCTGACCAGGACAGTGATAGTGATGATGACATGCTAAGGGAAATTAGAGAGGCTATCAAAATAAAGAACTCAATAATAGTGGGGGATTTCAATTATCCCCATATTGACTGGGAACATGTCACCTCAGGACGAAATGCAGAGACAAAATTTCTCGATACTTTAAATGACTGCTTCTTGGAGCAGCTGGTAAAGGAACCCACCAGGGGAGAGGCAACTCTTGATTTAGTCCTGAGTGGAGCGCAGGAGCTGGTCCAAGAGGTAATAATAACAGGACCTCTTGGAAATAGTGACCATAATATAATAACATTTAACATCCCTGTGGTGGGAAGAATATCTCAACAGCCCAACACTGTGGCATTTAATTTCAAAAAGGGGAACTATGCAAAAATGAGGAGGTTAGTTAAACAGAAATTAAAAGGTACAGTGACTAAAGTGAAATCCCTGCAAGCTGCATGGGCGCTTTTTAAAGACACCATAATAGAGGCCCAACTTAAATGTATACCCCAAATTAAGAAACACGGTAAAAAAAATTAAAAAGAGCCACAGTGGCTTAACAACCATGTAAAAGAAGCAGTGACAGATAAAAAGACTTCCTTTAAAAAGTGGAAGTCAAATCCTAGCGAGATAAATAGAAAGGAGCATAAACACTGCCAAATTAAGTGTAAAAATGTAATAAGAAAAGCCAAAGAGGAGTTTGAAGAATGGCTAGCCAAAAACTCAAAAGGTGATAACAAAATGTTTTTTAAGTACATCAGAAGCAGGAAGCCTGCTAAACAACCAGTGGGGCCCCTCGATGATAGAGATAGAAAAGGAGCGCTTAAAGACGATAAAGTCATTGCGGAGAAACTAAACGAATTCTTTGCTTCAGTCTTCACGGCTGAGGATGTTAGGGAGATTCCCAAACCTGAGCCGGCTTTTGTAGGTGACAAATCTGAGGAACTGTCACAGATTGAAGTATCACGAGAGGAGGTTTTGGAATTAATTGATAAACTTAACATTAACAAGTCACCGGGACCAGATGGCATTCACCCAAGGGTTCTGAAAGAACTCAAATGTTAAATTGCAGAACTATTAACTAGGGTTTGTAACCTGTCCTTTAAATCGGCTTCTGTACCCAACGACTGGAAGATAGCAAATGTAATGCCAATATTTAAAAAGGGCTCTAGAGGTGATCCTGGCAATTACAGACCGTTAAGTCTAACGTCAGTACTGGGCAAATTAGTCGAAACCATAGTAAAGAATAAAATTGTCAGACACATAGAAGAACATAAATTGTTGGGCAAAAGTCAACATGATTTCTGTAAAGGGAAATCGTGTCTTACTAATCTATTAGAGTTCTTTGAAGGGGTCAACAAACATGTGGACAAGGGGGATCTAGTGGACATAGTGTACTTAGATTTCCAGAAAGCCTTTGACAAGGTCCCTCACCAAAGGCTCGTACGTAAATTAAGTTGTCATGGGATAAAAGGGAAGGTCCTTTCATGGATTGAGAACTGGTTAAAAGACCGGGAACAAAGGGTAGGAATTAATGGTAAATTCTCAGAATGGGGAGGGGTAACTAGTGGTGTTCCCCAAGGGTCAATCTCAGACCAATCCTATTCAACTTATTCATAAATGATCTGGAGAAAGGGGTAAAAAGTGAGGTGGCAAAGTTTGCAGATGATACTAAACTTCTCAAGATAGTTAATACCAAAGCAGACTGTGAAGAACTTTAAAAAGATCTCACAAAACTAAGTGATTGGGCAACACAATGGCAAATGAAATTTAATGTGGATAAATGTAAAGTAATGCACATTGGAAAAAATAACCCTAACTATACATACAATATGATGGGGGCTAATTTAGCTACAACAAATCAGGAAAAAGATCTTGGAGTCGTCGTGGATAGTTCTCTGAAGATGTCCACGCAGTGTGCAGAAACGGTCAAAAAAGCAAACAGGATGTTAGGAATCATTAAAAAGGTGATAGAGAATAAGACGGAGAATATATTATTGCCCTTATATAAATCAATGGTACGCCCACATCTTGAATACTGCATACAGATGTGGTCTCCTCATCTCAAAAAAGATATACTGGCATTAGAAAAGGTTCAGAGAAGGGCAACTAAAAGTAGATAAGGAAAAGTTATTTACTTATTCCCATAATACAAGAACTAGAGGTCACCAAATGAAATTAATAGGCAGCAGGTTTAAAACAGATAAAAGGAAGTTCTTCTTCACACAGCTCACAGTCAACTTGTGGAACTCCTTACCTGAGGAGGTTGTGAAGGCTAGGACTATAACAGCATTTAAAAG